ATGTTTTGAATGTTTATTACCTTTGTTTTTAATAATTATTTAGTTGTAAATTTACATCATTTAATTTTCAGTTATGGCTGTGTTTCATACCCAGCTCCCAAAATTCCTGAAAAGTTAACAGTTGCCTCTCTCCAGCTGGTACTTGCAGGCTCCAGCGTATTACTGGCTATATCTGTGTATAAGGATGTTTGGCAGTATTGTTTATAATAGCAAAACCAGGAAACAAATTATATACCCACTGGTAGGGGCATAGTTGAGTAGGTTGTGCTGTGTCAACACCCTGGAATATATAGCAGCCATTAGCAAGAGCCATATAGTTGCCTTTAGTGATTGCCATGTGTATTGTTAAACCAGAGGAGCATTTGCAAGGATGATTCTATTTCATGATCTCATTTTTCTAAAACACTCTCTCCTCATTTATGCGTGTATGTTTGATTATATAAACATAGAAAAAAGTATGGTTACCTGAGATTGAGGACAGAAGAGGGTAAGAGGTGAGGTAAGGGAAAAAAAGGAATAATGTCCATGATAAAAACAGCATGTATGTTATGATTCCATGTGTAGTAAATTGTATGTATGTTTATATATACTGCCTAAAGAAATGCCTGAAAGAAATGTACCAAAATGTTAATGATGCCTGTCTTAGGGTGATGGAATTTTGTCTTTTTTTTTTTTAAATCTGAAAAGAAATTATTTTAATTGAAGGAGAAAATGAGAATCCTGTAGGCCTTTTATGGATTTAGATTTATAATAAAATTCTCTATCCTGTGAAAAGGCATACTTGAGTCAGTGTTTTAATAAAATTTAACCTGTTAGTGATATACTTTCTTCACTTAAACCTTTTCATGTGTATCACTTCAAAAAAAATTTTAGTAGGTAATATGTTGTTTCATAAGATGTGTATAAGTTTTAGAACTATGATATTAAGTATGTGTGCATATATGTACATATGTTTATGACTTCATGTCCTCCTAGATTTCAGTTGTTATCTTCATATTTAAAGGGCAATTCATTATTTGATATTGCTCTTATTTTCAGAGATTACAATGCAGGAGTTCCTTGTTCTCCAAGCCCCACAGGGGGACTGAATTTTCCTGTCCTCTGTCTTTAAAGGAACGCCCCACCCTGTTTTGTGTCACCCTTATTCAAAACCTTACCTTTCTCTCTAATCTGTAAACCTTGGTAGCCTGCTAGATGGATGGTCCAGAGTCTTATGCATACACTGTACTTATTAATTGAATGAATAAATAGTGGTATTTATCTTAGTCTATCATCATACATGGAACAATGATAAAGCTCCTTCAGGGATCATCAAAGTCTTGATTAATAACATTTTTGTATGTATTAAAGAGCTTTGAATCATATAATAAAAAGTACTATGCCAAAATAGTAGACTATTGATGTTTTGGTTTGCTGGTCAGTCTTCTACCTTGAATTTCCTCTTGGATCATCTCTTTTATTCTTTTAATGGTTGCTGTTTGAATTACCAGTGCTGTTTGTTATTTCTTAAGAGCCTTCTCACAGCGCTCAGAAACCTTCTAGGTGTTTTATAGTGCAAAATTCAGAAAGTTTATGCCTTTGTTAAGTTGTTACTCCTTCTTAATATTGTTTTTGTCTTGTGGAAATATCTTGGGAACCTCTTTCTTTAGTCTTCTTGTTAGTAAATAGCCCTCTTTGCCATTATAAAGCCGTAATATTTCTCTTCAAGCAGCAACTTCTGCTGCTGCTGCTTTTATATTGTTCTTTGGCAGTTTATCTCTTTGACAATAATGTGTTCTGAAATGAAGCTGTAGATTGTGTTTTTCTTTTTTTTTTTTTTTAAAGATTTTATTTATTCAGTTTTTCCCCCCAAAGCCCCAGTAGATAGTTGCATGTCATAGGTTCACATCCTTCTAGTTGCTGTATGTGGGACTCGGCCTCAC